AGAAGAGGCAGGTATATCCCAGAATGCTTTGCATGGGGAGCTCTCCCCGCCCTGACCCATGACCTCTGACCTGTGCATTACTACATAGTGACTCAGTTTACTGACCGTTCAGATAACGTTCCTTTCCTGTTGATCATGTGACTCCGGCTCCCTCTACCATCTCTGCGACAGAACAAAGGTTCTTTCTCGCCCCCAAAACAAATCCCAAGCTGCATTGCAAGGAGAGCTCTTGCAAAGCATTCTGGGACATATCTATATTGTGGGAAATTTTAAGCCTACTACATTTTCCTCCCCTAGAGGTCCAGACGCTCATATAAAGTGGTGTATAGTGCTCTATGGGGGGGTTAGGGTGGATGAGGTCGCCTCAGTCATCAGTGACATCACATTCCCATGCGTTTCCATGCAGCCCAGGTACCTTAAACAGAGGAGCTGCAGCAGCCACAGCTGCAGCTGCAGCAGCCACTGCTGTTCTGCTGACCTCTTCCAGACCAGATGAAGCCCCGCCCTGAACGACCGCTGCATCCTCAGCGCTCTGATGGAACGGTGGGTTCAGGGTCCGCCTTGGTTCCAGCAGCTGGACACTGACCTCCCTCTTCTTGGTACCAAGGCAGCTGAGCAGAAGGAATGATGGGAGATCAAAGCTGTTATCAGCCTGGCTTCATATAAACGACCAGCATCCCACCACCGCTTCCTTACCGCTGTCTCAGAGCGCCAAGCACGACGCCGCGCCCTCCGGGCTGGTAGCATGACGTCTGGAGCTCCGGACCTGAGGGGGAAGATGGAGCAGGCTTTAATGTTTCACCACGGAAACATTGACTGATGTTAGGAAATATTCACCCCACACTGATTCAACGTCTTACTTTATTTATTAATGATAAAAAAAACTGTTATAATCAGAGAAATATATCCTGAGTTCATACAAAAGCTGTGGATTTATGTCAATAAAAGAAAACTAAGCGATCCAAACCATCCTGGTCCTAATAAAGAAATTTTTACCCCCTAAAAAAAGCCTGTTTTGGTTTTTTCAGAACATCTCTGAGTCGACGTTCAGTCGAGGAAGCAAAGTGTGACTTAGGTAATCCTCCATCGGGGCGTTCTGCTACCGAGCAGCTTCCCAGCAGCTCTATGAGGAGCTGCAGGAAGCAGCAGATCAGACGGCCAGCCTCCAAACATTTCCTCCTTTAGGGTCTTTTGTTTTTGGATGTTTTAGGAAATGCATCTTTGTATTTTTTCTGACCTTGGGCCATGGCTGCAGGAATTAGGGGTGCTGCAGCACCTCCTAGTGGCGATAGGGAGAATCTTTTTTTTTTATGTATTAAAAATACTTTGCACAATTTATACATTTATTTTGGATATTTCAGTAAATGGTTTTGACTTTTTTTTATTTTACTATTCTGTGTATTTGGATGTTAATGTAATTATATTGAGGCCTAATCAACACAAGTTCACGGAAGTTACGTTGTCATGGCAACGTCATGCAAGCTAGGGCGTGATATCCTGCTTGTGGCAGCAGACTTTTAAATGTACATAGTCTAATGGCAGAAAGGAGGAGGAAAAATGGCACAGAAACGCATTTTGGATATTTTTATTTTTTTTAAACCACCAGTGAAGAACACTGACACCGCAACCACGACAACGGAGAGCAGCGGAGTGAGGAGACAGTCTCCTGTCTCTGATGGCAGTTGCTCCAGCAACCAAAGCTAGCATGACTGGATTAAACAAGGCAACATCCATTTCCTGCTCTGCTTTGCGGTAATGAAACGTTCTCACGGTCTGTGGCACCGGCTTGGTTTGCTGGATGGCAGTGGCTGCATGATGTGGAAGAGACGGATCAGATTTTGTGTTTTGTTTGTCTGGAAGCAGTCAGAAAAGTCATACCTAGAGATAAATTTAAGAAAGACGACCCCTTTGGGAATGCCGGCTTTTCAAATAGGCATAAAGCCACTGAGAATGTTTTATTGTAAAGTTTAATTAACTGATAAATTATTAATTTGATTAATTATGTCTGAGTTACAGGCCCTGGTTGCGTGCACTGAAGTGACAATAAAGTAGCGAATCTCAATCTCTTTATTTATTGTATTTTAAATAAGCCTATACGCTCAGGTATTTTGTCTAAAAAAAAAAAAAATTTTAAAAAGGCAAAAAATGTTCACAGCACACCCAATCATAATTACTCCCAGCGGCCCTGGCTTGGCCATCCCATGACCTCTGACCTCCACTGAGCTCTGCAGAGCTTTACATGTTCTGGGTTCAGGATCAGTAGACCTGGATCTGGGTACAGCTGGGTTCTGTAGAGGACCGAGTCGTTTTCAGGAGGATGTGAACGCAGATTGGTGGAAGAGAAAAATAATTGAGGATCAGAGGGAAGAACCGGGACCTGGATGGAGGAGGTCGGACCGGGAGGTCCGGTGTTCTGTCACACCAGCATACCCATAGGAATACATATGCATGCAGTCAGATTGCCATACGCTTCAAAAAACACCAAACACTAAGTAATTAAAGTGTTTTTTTGTACATGACTAAAGGGATACACGCCTGTTGAGGAAGTTTAAAGTGTATTTAGGGAAGAGTCTAGCTGCACCTGCAGCCATCTACAAAACACACCTCCCGCCCAGCCAATTGTTGATGATATTGAGTTGGATATTACGTCACCTTGGATGCAGCGGCTCGGTGGAGGAGAAGGAAGATGCCTACTACTAACTTGGTGCATAAAAAAAATTAATAATAATAATCTTGTTTAATGATGGGATTAGGAAATAGTTTAATCCATGACGACATTGCTGTACAATTTTGCCTGTATTTTGTTTTCTTATATCATGTAATTTTCCAGGGACTGCACATGCTTTAAATATAAAAAGGAAAATGTTAGAAATTGCATTTTTAAGTTCATTTATATAAAATTCTCCTGGTGTGAAACAGCAAACACAGAAAGTGAGGCTGTCTGAGTTTAAAGCTGTTTAGCTTTAAATGCTGTTTATCTCAGATCAGGGGCGGATTTAGGAAATGTGGGGCCCTAGGCAAAGACAGGCAGGGGGCCCCCTGAACTGAGAACACAACACATAAACAGACCCATTCTACAGATATAGAAATGTTAATAGAATAGACATCCATTATCTGTTCTAGGTTTTGTCCCTCTCTTCTTCTTGTTTTCCTCTCTATGTTTTGTACTCAGCTGACTTTTCATGCTGTCTCTAAAGGAATGAAAGATTTTTTCCAAGCACTAAGCTCACTTAGCTGATTGCTCCTTCCTGTGTTTCCAAAAAGGCAAAAGTAAATAACCCAGTCCTTCTTTTCACTGTAGACAAGCCAAGATCTGCTTATCTGTTCTCCATTTTTCATTTGGATGAAATAATAGCTGCATGAATCATGACAGCAGACAAGATAGAGGAGAGCAGGAGGCGGGGTTACCAATCTACTTGCTCTGGAGAGCAGAGTTCGCTGCTTTAAGATGTTGTCGCCAAAGCCTCCAGTAACAGAATAAAGTCGCTAGATTTAGCGCTAGGAGCTTTTTTTTAAATTAAAGTGCTAGAGGGGTCTGAAAAGTCGCTAAATATAGCGACTAAAGCACTAAGTTGGCAACACAGATCTTAGCATCATTTGTTTTCAAATGGTTTGCTGCTGTCTGTTTGGACCTTTCTGAACATGTTTAATAACATGTTTAATTAATGTGCACAAATAAGAAATAGCTGTATTAACCATACATGTGAACAGAGTTTATATTAAGACCTTGGGGCCCTAGGCACCTGGTAAATCCGCCCCTGCTTCAGACTAAAACTTTTTGTTTATTCTATCAGGCATAAATAAACTAGCCTACTTAACCCTCGGTTTGCTTTCCCGGTAATAAACTGGGTCTGCTGATCTGACACCGGATCCAGTGACTATGAACAGGGACCGGCTGCTGATGCCCAGGCTGGTAATGACTCACCGCCTGGAGGATCTCCTGCTGCCCGCTCTGGGTAGCCATTCTCCGGGTTGGTTCCAGGTTTCCGCCTGCTTTGCTGAGGCTCCCGCAGTTTTCGGACCGTTATCTGAACGTGCTGCGGTGCCTCAGCAGCTCTCTGCCGGGTGGAGCGGATGAGGACGGCCCCGGTGTCCGAGCCGCAGGAGGACCGAGCCGGACTGAGAGGCGGTGGGTCAGAGGGAACCGGAGACAACATGCAGGTAGCGGCTCATCTGTTCCCAGGGAGTCAGACTTTTCAAACTTCCCGCTGCGGGAACTCCTGCTGCCGCCAGAAGAAGCTGGACAGAAACAACAGGAGAATAAAGTTCACCTCAGAGACGCAGAGGACATGAAGAGCTTCTACTAACAGACAGCTGAGGTGTTTAAAATCAATAAAACAAACATCTGCTGCTGCTAGAAACTCTACTGGTAGCTTCCGCTGTTTCCCTGCTTTTTCTTCTTCTTTTTTTTTTAATGGCGGTTGGCAAACGACTTATAGGTGCATTACCGCCACCTTCCAGAATGGAGTATGGATCAGACAAACTATTATATTCTCCCTAAAATACCCGTTCTTCTTAGAAAATTAAAAATACTCCCAAAAACTACATCCCCAGATGACCTTTGAAACAATTCCCTTATATCTAGTTTACTTTTATTCCTGTCTAACTCTCTACACAACATTTCTCTATCCTGAGTATATTTATTACATTCTAAAAATATGTGTTGGACAGTTTCTAATTTCCCACAAATACAACACCCTGTATTATGCTTATTCATTATTTTAAGAGTACTATTTAATCCTGTATGTCCGAACCTTATTCTAGATATAATATCTTCTTCTTTTTTAATTCTATTACATTTTCTTAATTCTCCAACCTTTTTTTGAATACTATAATAAAATCTAGCATTCCCTCCTTTATCCCACTGTTCTTGCCATTTCTTCTTGAAATACATTTTTATAATATTCTTTAACTCATTTTTACTAATGTTAATGTTTAAATCAATATCCTTTTTTACAGCACTCTTAGCAAAACTGTCAGCTAACTCATTACCGATAACACCAACGTGAGCAGGAATCCAGACTAATTTAACAACAGAACCTCTTTGCTTCTTCTTCGTCTTCTATGGTGTTTTATGGCACTTTACAGACTATGTGTATTACCGCCATCAACTGGACGGAGATGTAATTCAGAAAAAAAATCCTATATATATCTTCAAATCTAAAAACAAAAAAAAAACTAGATCAAATACCTACTTATACATTCACACACACATAAATCCTCTCATCTAATTTTGTGTCTTTTAAATACTTAATAAGTGCTTTAACTATATCATGTGATTGATGCTTCTCTAATAATTAACCATATTTACTGAACTCCCAATTACCCTTTCCAGTTCTTTCCTCTCTTTTATATATTTTCCACAATAAATCAATATATGATCTACTCCTTCTGTTTCCCCACAATAAGAAAAAACAACTGATGGATGTTTCCCTATAATTTTTAAACCACTATTTAAACTAGTATGCCCAATCCTCAACCTGTTTATCCATACTCTCTCCTATTCATTATACTATTATTTCTTATGATTACCTCCTTCTGTATTTTATGTAAATGCCTTCCTCTTTCTTCTAAATTCCATCTCTCCTGCCATATATTATTTACTTTATCTTTAATAATTACTTTTATTTCTGCTCTACTTAATGGGACATCATATTCAGTTTCTCTTGCTTTAATTGCTTCTTTATCTACTCTTTCAATACCTACAATTCCTTTATGTGCTGGAACCCATGTGAATTGAATACTTATTTTTGTTGTTTTATATAACAAATAATTAACTTCATCTAAAAGATTTTGACTGGTTTCATTCTTTGCTTCTTTTTTGCCTCCAAACTACCAACCC